TGAAAGTTAAATACATTGAAAAAAAGCTTTCTAAATCAAATGAAAGTTAAACACATTAGAACAAAGCTTTTTGAATCACATGAAAGTCAAACACGTTCAAACAAAGCTTTTTTATTCGAATAAAAGTCAAATGAATTCACCGAAGATATTTGAATAAAATGAAAGTCAAACACATTCAAACAAAGATTTTTGAATCAAATGAAAGTAAAAAACTTTCAATAAAAAATTTTTCAATCAAATGAAAGTCAAACACATTAAACAAAGCTAATTAAATCAAATGAAAGTCATACTTATTCAAACAAAATTTTTTTTAATCAAATGAAAGTCAAAAGCATTCAAATAATGCCTTTCAAATCATATGAATATAAAACACATTTAAACAAATATTTTTGAATCAAATAAAAGTTAAATGCATTCAACAAAGCTAATTAAATCAAATGAAAGCGAAACACATTCAAACAGAGCTTTTTGAACAAAATGAAAGTGAAATATTCAAACAAAGCTTTTTGAATCGAATGGAAATCAAATACATTAAACGAAGCTAATTGATTCAAATGAAAGTCAAACACATTTAAACATAGCTTTTTGAATAAAATGAAGGTTAAACACATAAAAAATAAAGCTTTTTGAACCGAATGAAAGTCAAACGCATCCAAACAATACTTTTTAAATCAAATGAAAGTCAAACACATTCAAATAAAGCTTTTTAATTCAAATGAAAGTCAAACACATTCGGATAAAGATTTTTAAATCGAATGAAAATCAAACGCATTCAACGAAGTTAATTAAATCATATGAAAGTCAAAAACATTCAAACAAAGAGTTTTAAACAAATGAAGGTTAAACATATTTAAAGAAAGCTTATTGAATCAAATGAAAGTCAAACACATTCAAACAAAGCTTTTATAATCAAATGAGTGTCAAACACATTCAAAAAACTCTTTTTAAATCGTATGAAAGTCAAATACATTTAACAAAGCTAATTGAATCAAATGAAAGTCAAACACATTTGAAAAAAGCTTTTTAAATCAAATGAAAGTGAAACACATTCAAACAAATAGTTTTGAATCAAATGAAAGTCAAACACATTCAAACAAAGTTTTTTGAATTGAATGAAAGTCAAATGCATTCTAACAAAGCTTTTTGAAAAGAATAAAAGTCAAATGCATTCAACAAAGCTAATTGATATGAGGAAAGTCAAATACATTCACACAAAGCTTTTTAAGTCAAATGAAAGTCTAACACATTCATTCAAACAAAGCTGATTTAATTAAATGAAAGTCAAACACATTCAGTTAAAGATTTTTGAATCGAATGAAATACAAACACATTTAACAAAGTTAATTGAATCAAATGAAAGTCAAACACATTTAACAAAGATTTTTGAATAAAATGAAAGATAAACACATTCAAAGAAAGCTTATTGAATCAAATGAAAGTCAAACACAATCAAACAAAGCTTTTTAAATCAAATAAAAGTCTAACACATTCAAACAAAGCTTTTTAAATCAAATTAAAGTAAAAAAACTTTCAAACAAAGCTTTTTGACTCGAATGAAAGTCAAATGCATTTAAACAATGCTTTTTGAATCGAATGAAAGTCAAATGCATTCAACGAAGATAATTGAATAAAATGAAAGTCAAACACATACAAACTAAGCTTTTTGAATCGAATGAAAGTCAAACACATTAAAACAAAGGTTTTTTAATCGAATAAAAGTCAAATGCATTCAACGAATCTAATTGAAAAAAATGAATGTCAAACACATTACACAAAGCTTTTTGAATCAAATGAATGTCAAATGCATTCAAACAACTCTTTTTAAATCACGTGGAAGTCAAACACTTTCAAACAAAGATTTTGTTACCAAATAGACGTTAAATACATTTAACAAAGCTAATTGAATCAATTGAAAGTAAAACACATTCAAACAAAGCTTTTTGAATAAAATGAAAGTCAAACACATTCAAATAAAGATTTTTTAATCAAATGAAAGTCCAATGCATTCAACATAGTGAATTGAATCAAATGAAAGTCAAACACATTCAAACAAAGCTTTTTATATCAAATGAAAGTTAAACACTTTTAAAGAAAGCTTTTTAAATCAAATGAAAGTTAAACACATACAAACAATGCTTTTTAAATCAAATGACAGTCAAACACATTCAAACAAAGCTTTTTGATTCAAATGAAAGTCAAATACATTGAACAAAGGTTTTTGAATCAAATGAAGGTCAAACACATTAAAACAAAGCTTTTAGAATCAAATGAAAGTCATACACATTCAAAAAAAGCTTTTTAAATCAAATGATATTGAAATACATTTAAACACAGGTTTTTGAATCGAATGAAAGTCAAATGCTTTCAATGTAGATAATTAAATCAAATGAAAGTCAAACATAATCAAACTTAATTTTTTGAATCAAATGAGTATTAAACACATTCAAACAATGCTTTTTGAATCAAATGAAAGTTAAACACATTGAACAAAAGCTTTCTAAATCAAATGAAAGTTAAACACATTAGAACAAAGCTTTTTGAATCACATGAAAGTCAAATACGTTCAAACAAAGCTTTTTTATTCGAATGAAACTCAAATGAATTCACCGAAGATATTTGAATAAAATGAAAGTCAAACACATTCAAACAAAGATTTTTTAATCAAATGAAAGTAAAAAACTTTCAATAAAAATTTTTTCAATCAAATGAAAATCAAACACATTAAACAAAGCTAATGAAAGTCAAATGCATTTAAACAATGCTTTTTGAATCGAATGAAAGTCAAATGCATTCAACGAAGATAATTGAATAAAATGAAAGTCAAACACATACAAACTAAGCTTTTTGAATCGAATGAAAGTCAAACACATTAAAACAAAGGTTTTTTAATCGAATAAAAGTCAAATGCATTCAACGAATCTAATTGAAAAAATGAATGTCAAACACATTACACAAAGCTTTTTGAATTAAATGAATGTCAAATGCATTCAAACAAATCTTTTTAAATCACATGAAAGTCAAACACTTTCAAACAAAGATTTTGTTATCAAATAGACGTTAAATACATTTAACAAAGCTAATTGAATCAATTAAAAGTAAAACACATTCAAACAAAGCTTTTTGAGTAAAATGAAAGTCAAACACATTCAAATAAAGATTTTTTAATCAAATGAAAGTCTAATGCATTCAACATAGTGAATTGAATCAAATGAAAGTCAAACACATTCAAACAAAGCTTTTTATATCAAATGAAAGTTAAACACTTTTAAAGAAAGCTTTTTAAATCAAATGAAAGTTAAACACATTCAAACAATGCTTTTTAAATCAAATGACAGTCAAACACATTCAAACAAAGCTTTTTGATTCAAATGAAAGTCAAATACATTGAACAAAGGTTTTTGAATCAAATGAAGGTCAAACACATTAAAACAAAGCTTTTAGAATCAAATGAAAGTCATACACATTAAAAAAAAGCTTTTTAAATCAAATGATATTGAAATACATTCAAACACAGGTTTTTAAATCGAATGAAAGTCAAATGCTTTCAATGTAGATAATTAAATCAATTGAAAGTCAAACATAATCAAACTTAATTTTTTGAATCAAATGAGTATTAAACACATTCAAACAATGCTTTTTGAATCAAATGAAAGTTAAACACATTGAAAAAAGCTTTCTAAATCAAATGAAAGTTAAACACATTAGAACAAAGCTTTTTGAATCACATGAAAGTCAAATACGTTCAAACAAAGCTTTTTTATTCGAATGAAACTCAAATGAATTCACCGAAGATATTTAAATAAAATGAAAGTCAAACATATTCAAAAAAAGATTTTTTAATCAAATGAAAGTAAAAAACTTTCAAAAAAAAAATTTTCAATCAAATGAAAGTCAAATACATTAAACAAAGCTAATTGAATCAAATGAAAGTCATACTTATTCAAACAAAATTTTTTTAATCAAATGAAAGTCAAACGCATTCAAATAATGCTTTTCAAATCAAATGAATATAAAACACATTTAAATAAATCTTTTTGAATAAAATAAAAGTTAAATGCATTCAACAAAGCTAATTAAATCAAATGAAATTGAAACACATTCAAACAAAGCTTTTTGAACAAAATGAAAGTCGAACACATTCAAACAAAGCTTTTTGAATCGAATGGAAATCAAATACATTACACGAAGCTAATTGATTCAAATGAAAGTCAAACTCATTTAATCACAGCTTTTTTAATAAAATGAAGGTTAAACACGTAAAAAACAAGCTTTTTGAACCGAATGAAAGTCTAATGCATTCAATAAAGTGAATTGAATCAAACGAAAGTCAAACACATCCAAACAATGCTTTTTAAATCAAATGAAAGTCAAACACATTCAAACAAAGCTTTTTAATTCACACGAAAGTCAAACACATTCAGATAAAAAAAATTTAAAGCGAATGAAAATCAAACGCATTCAATGAAGTTAATTGAATCAAATGAAAGTCAAAAACATTCAAACAAAGATTTTAAACAAATGAAGGTTAAACATATTTAAAGAAAGCTTGTTGAATCAAATGAAAGTCAAACACATTCAAACAAAGCTTTTATAATCAAATGAGTGTCAAACACATTCAAACAAATCTTTTTAAATCGTATGAAAGTCAAATACATTTAACAAAGCTAATTGAATCAAATGAAAGTCAAACACATTCGAAAAAGATTTTTGAATTGAATGAAAGTCAAAGGCATTCTGACAAAGCTTTTTGAAAAGAATAAAAGTCAAATGCATTCAACAAAGCTAATTGAAAACAATACATTCACACAATGCTTTTTAAATCAAATGAAAGTCTAACACATTCAAACAAAGCTGATTGAATTAAATGAAAGTCAAACTCATTCAGTTAAAGATTTTTGAATCTATTCATTGAGGTTTGACTTTCGTTGACTTTCTCTCTTCTCTTTCTTCTTCATGGTTCTTCATTTTTGATTGGTTTTCTTCATCAAATCTGGATATCAATGGCGAAGAAAGCTATTTCTACACCTCAAGTAGCGCAACAAAAGACTGCTCATGAAGTTGTTGGTTCGATTTTGCAGAATTTGGGAAACTCAAGTACCTCTTTCGTTCCTAGCTCGATTCAATAGGTGGATGAGCTGCTTACACCGACGCCGGCGTTAGTGTAGTCGGCTTGTGGAGCTATTTCCGGTGTTCCATTGGATGCTAAAGCTACTCTCTTTGCTGAAGCTGCTGCTAGGCCGAGTCAGTCCAATGGAACAGTACCTAGGGTTTTTGGGTTTACTGTTCCATTGGATGCTGGTGGATCTAGGCATAGTGTTGAGCCAAGGCGTTCTCTTTAATATTTCTCACCCTCTCTGGAGCATAATGTGCACAAAGTTAATGAAGATCGAGCTGCTTCTCCCTCTGCCCTGGAACTGAACTCGCGCAAGTTTGATAAAAACCGAGCTACCTCTTCCCCTGTTCTGGAGCAGAATGGGAGTGATCGAGCTGCACCTTTTACTGGGAAATTGGCTGCAAAAGGGGCTACATTATCCTTTGTTGCTCCGAAAGTGCAGGACGGGAAACTCATTGCTGAGCTACAGGCAACTGAGCTTGAGGCAGGTAATCGAAAATGGGCTAATGCTTTAGTCTTTTATGTGGTTGGCTTTTACCCTACTATTGCTGTTGTTCTTCGTTTCTTTGCTCAACAATGGAATGATATGCAAAAACCAGATGTGTATTGGCATGATGATGGGTACTTTATTGTCAATATGTGTTCTAGTGATGATAGAGATACTATACTTTGTTCTGGTCCTCATATGTTCCTTGGAAATCCTGCAATAGTGAAGCCTTGGTGTCGTAATTTTGATTTTCATGCTGAAATTCTTAGAACTATCTCTCTTTGGGTTAAATTCCCTAATCTCCCACTTAATTGTTGGGAATCTGATACTCTTACCCGCCTTGGTAGTTTGCTTGGAGTGCCAATTTGTGCTGATGAGTGTACTACTAGACAACTTAGAGTGTCTTTTACTAGGGTTCTGATTGAAATTGATGTTACAAAGCCTATGCCCACCTCTATATGGGTTGAGAGACCTTCGAAGGAACTATTGGAGATCAGGGTGGTGTATGAGTGGGCTCCTCCTTTTTGCTCTAAGTGTAATAAGATTGGTCATGATTGCTCTGTTAAGCCTCCTATGCCTAAGCAGGCTTCTAAGCAACCGACTTCTGTTCCTCCTAAGCAAAAGCAAGTTTGGGTTCCTAAGCCTACCCATGTTCCTACTTCTACTACTGCTGTTGATGTTGGTGTTTCTGTTCGTGGACAATCTATTATTACTCCACAGGTTCATACCTCTCAGAATTCAGATAAGGGGTGGAGAATAGTAGGGAGGAAGACAAAAAGCCAGCAAACTAGAGTTCACTATAAATCCAAGCGGGGGTGAGGTTGATCCCCCTTTGGTGTCATGATTTACTCTATTAGGAATGTCAGGGGCCTGAATGACCGTGGCAAAGTTGCCTCTGTAAAGAGGTTTCTTCACTCTCATTCAGTTGATGTTGTTAGTTTGCTTGAAACAAAAATCAAATTGAAAAATGTTCTCACTTATCAGAGGAAGTTTGGCTCTTCTTGGCTTTGGTTGTGTAATTATGACCATTCTCCCAAAGGGAGGATTTGGCTTGGTTGGAATGTGGATAGAGTAACTGTTAATGTCTTGAAGGTTCATGAACAGTTCATTCATTGTACTGTTTCTTCTAAGGATCACTCTACTCAAATTTATCTCACTGTTGTTTATGGTCTTCACTCCATTCATGATAGGCTTCCTTTGTGGGAGGGGCTCCGAAGAATCTCTGTTCAGCATTCTCCTTGGCTTTGTGTTGGTGACTATAACTCTGTTCTTAAAACTTCAGATAGGCTTCATGGTGCTGATGTTACTGATTATGAGACTAGAGACTTTTAGAATTTTGTTGATGATTTGGACCTCACTGAGATCAAAAGCAAAGGGTCCTTTTACTCTTGGTCTAATAAGGCTCATACTGGCCCTAGAACGCTCTCTAGACTTGACAGAGTCTTTGGTAATCAAGCTTGGTTAGCTTCTCATGGGCATGTGGAGACTGTTTATCTCCCTCCTTCTTTATCTGATCATAGTCCAGTTCTGTTGGATATTTGCTCTGGCCCTGTGGGGAAAGGTAGACCTTTCCGATTTCTAAATTGTATTGCTGATCACCTTGATTTTCTTGATACTGTCTCGCAGGCTTGGGGTTCTAGTATTTCTGTTTGGCAGAAGCTTAATTCTGTGAAGTCTAGTATCAAATCTCTTAATAGCAAGCAGTTTGGTAACATTGAGGAAAAGATTGACCAAGCTAATGATGAGCTTTCTAGAATTCAAAACTTAATGGCCTAGAACCCTGATGATTTGGATTTATATGCTAAAGAATCTGATGCTATTAAGGTTGTCAAGCACTGGAATGACATTCAGGAAAGCATCTTCAAGAAAAAATCTAGGATTAATTGGGTTAAGCTTGGAGATGGAAATTCTCACTATTTCTTCTCTGTGATGAAGACTAGGCAAGCAAGGAATAAAATTGACTCCATCTTTGATTCTAATCAGGTGTTGCTCAAGGATCCAGATGCTATTTCTCATGAAATTATCTCTTTCTATAAGTCTCTTTTAGGGACTCGGGCTCCTTGGCTCCCTGCTGTTGACCTTGTTACTATGAGGAGGGGTAAGCAGCTTAGCTTTGTTGCTCAGAGCTACCTCATTAGGCCTATTTCTCAAGCTGAAATTGATGTTGCCCTTAAGGGAATTGATAACACTAAAGCTCCTAGTATTGATGGCTTTAACTCCTTTTTCTTTAAGAGAGCTTGGCATATTGTGAAAGATGATATTTATGCAAGTGTTATTGATTTCTTTAATAACGGGACTTTGCCTAAGCAATGGAATTGCACAACTATCACTCTGGTTCCTAAAGTCCTTTCTGCTTCTCATGTTAAGGATTTTAGACCTATAGCCTGTTGTACTGTGGTCTATAAGCTCATTTCTGAGGTCATAACTGCTAGGCCTGTTGCTATCATTGGTGAGGTGATTGATGATGCTCAGGCAGGGTTCATTCCTGGCAAGCACATTGGTGACAATATTCTTCTTGCAACTGAACTGATCAAAGGCTATGATCACAAATTTATCTCTCCCAGGTGTATGGTTAAGGTGGATTTGAAGAAAGCTTATGATTCAGTTGAGTGGGGATTCTTGATCACTGTCATGCAGGAGCTTGGTTTCCCTCAGAGATTCGTTGATTGGATCTGGAATTCTCTTACTTCTGTCTCTTACTCTATTCTTATTAATGGTTTTCCTGCCCCCCCCCCCCCTTTGAAGCTAAGAAAGGGTTAAGATAAGGTGACCCTATGTCTCCCTTTCTCTTTGCTATTGGTATGGAATACCTCTCCAGATGCCTTGATGAGCTTAGGTTATCTCCTGATTTTAACTTTCACCCTAGATGTGAAAAGTTAAACCTAACTCACATGATGTTTGCTGATGACTTATTGATGTTTTCTAGAGCTGATAGTGTTTCTGTTAAGCTTCTCTTCCAAGCCTTCCGGAAATTCTCTGGTGCCTCTGGGCTTTCTGCTAATCTTGATAAAAGTGAAGTCTATTTTGGAGGGGTCTCTGTTGATGTCCAGAAAGAGTTGAGGGAGCTTCTTGGTGTTTCTCAAGGTACCATTCCTTTTAGGTATCTTGGGGTCCCTCTCTCTTCCAAAAATCTTACTATTGCTCAATGTAGGCCTTTGGTGGAGAGGGTCACTGCTAGAATACAAGGGTGGATGGCTAAACACTTGTCCTATGCTGGGAGGCTTCAATTGGTGAAGAGTGTGTTGTTTGGTATCGAGACTTATTGAGCTCAAATTTTTATTCTTCCGAAGAAAATTCTGAAAGAGATTGAGGCTAGGTTCAGGTGCTTTCTTTGGACTGGATCCTCTGCCCCTGCTAAGAAGTCTTTGGTTGCTTGGAATAATGTCTGTCTTCCTAAAGTTTGTGGTGGCTGGAACTTGCTTTCTCTTCCTGAGTGGAATAAAGCAGCTGTCACTAAGTTACTTTGGGATATTGCTCACAAGGTTGATAATCTTTGGGTTAAGTGGGTCCATATCTACTATTTCAAGCATAAAGATTGTTGGACCACCCCTACCCCTACTAGATGCTCTTGGTTCTTGAAGAAGATTTTGAGTTGTAGAGATGTTTTGAATGATCAAGGGGGATGGGATGGTTTCGTACAGGGAAACAAGTTGAAAATCAAGAAGCTATATGCTGCTATTAGGCCTCAAGTGCCAAAAGTTCCTTGGAAGAGAGTTACTTTCCATAACTTAGAAACTCCCAAAAGTGTTTTTATCTTGTGGCTAGCTTTGTGGAATAGGCTTGTCACTAAGGATAGGTTGCTTCAATGGCACATCTCTTGTGATCCAAGGTGTTTCTTATGTCTGAATGGCAATGAAAGTGTCCAGCATTTATTTTTTTGTTGTGAATTCTCTAGGAAGGTTTGGAGCAAGGTGTTGGGTATCTTACATGTTTCCAAGCCTGTTCAGCAGTTTAGTGATGAGGTCGATTGGATGTAGAAAATCTGCAGAAGTTCCAAATTGAAAAATAAAGTGATCCAGGTGGCCTTAACTAAACAATTTATGGTATTTGGATCCAAAGGAATGCAATTCTCTTTACTGGTTGCTGCAAATCTGTTGATGCCCTAGTTAGGGATATTGTCTTTCATTCAGTTTAAAGAATCCCGGCGGGAAGCAAATATTTGATTGTTTAGGAGCTTGTCTCTGGCTCCTAGTGTTTGCGTTCTGGTTTCTTTTTCTTGGGGTTTTTGGATTATCTGTCTTGTTTTGGTTGCTCGTTTGGCTCTTTATTTGATGATGGGTTCTGATGGTGCTTTTATTTTCTTGAATTTGAGATTCCCGTTGCATCTATTATTGTTTTGCTATTCTTTTTTTGCTGACTGTATCTCTCTGCTGTCTGCTGGTTGCTGCTGTCTGCTTTGCTGACCCTGCACTGCTGGTGTTGTGCTTTGCTGTTTGTGCTGCTGTGCACTGATGTCTACTTGTTGTTGCTGTTGCACTGCTGTTTGTGCTACTGCACTGGTGCCTGTTGCTGCTGTTTGTTGCTGTTGTTTGTTGCTGCTGTTTGTTGTTGTTTGTTGCTGCTGCACTGCTTTTTGTTGCTGCTGCACTGCTGTTTTGTTGCTGCTGCACTGTTGTTTGTTGCTGCTGCATTGCTGTTTGTACTACTGTGCACTGCTATTTATGCTTGCTGCTGGTTTGTGCTCTGCTGTCTATTGTCCGTTGCTCTGTGCCTTGCTGTCTGCTGATGGTGCAAGCTTTGTTGGTTTGTTGTTGCTTGTTTTTTTGTTTTTGTTGGTTTGCTGGTCAGTTTGCAGGCATGTCTTCTTTTGATTGTTAATTTTGGTGTTTTTTTGGGTGTATGGCTTTGTTGTTTATTGCTGGTTTTGTTGTCTGGTCCTGGTTTCCAGAACCCTTCCTAGAAGGTGGCTGGAAATCTGAGTCCAGTTGTTCTAGGCCCTTCCTAGAACCCTTCCTAGAAAGTGGCTAGGTCTGGATCTAGAACATGTTTTGGGGATGGCCTGTTGTATTCAAGTCTTGTGGTGTTTTGGTGGTAGTTATAACTTAGCTTTTGTAAGTTGTAACTTTCTCTCTTTGGTAATAACATCTTATTTTCCAAAAAAAAAAAAAAGAGTTTTGAATCGAATGAAATACAAACACATTCAACAAAGTTAATTGAATCAAATGAAAGTCAAACACATTTAACAATGATTTTTGAATAAAATGAAAGATAACACATTCAACGAAAGCTTATTGAATCAAATGTAAGTCAAAAACATTCAAACAAAGATTTTTAAACAAATGAAGGTTAAACATATTTAAAGAAAGCTTATTGAATCAAATGAAAGTCAAACACATTCAAACAAAGCTTTTATAATCAAATGCGTGTCAAACACATTCAAACAAATCTTTTTAAATCGTATGAAAGTCAAATACATTTAACAAAGCTAATTGAATCAAATGAAATTCAAACACATTCGAAAAAAGCTTTTTGAATCAAATGAAAGTGAAACACATTCAAACAAATATTTTTGAATCAAATGAAAGTCAAACACATTCCAACAAAGCTTTTTGAATTGAATGAAAGTCAAATGCATTATAACAAAGCTTTTTGAAAAGAATAAAAGTCAAATGCATTCAACAAAGCTAATTGAAGCGAGGAAAGTCAAATACTTTCACACAATGCTTTTTAAATCAAATGAATGTCAAACACATTCAAACAAAGCTTTTTGAATCAAATGAAAGACAAACACATTCAGATAAAGATTTTTGATTCAAATGCAAAATAAACGCATTCAACGAAGTTAATTGAATCAAATGAAAGTCAAACATATTCAAACAAAGATTTTTAAACAAATGAAAGTTAAACACATTTAAAGAAATATGATTGAACCAAATGAAAGTCAAACACATTCAAACAAAGCTTTTACAATCAAAATTGTGTTAGACACATTCAAACAAATCTTTTTGAATCGAATAAAAGTCAAATGCATTCAACAAAGCTAATTAAATCAAATGAAAGTCAAACACATTCAAACAAAGCTTTTTGAATCAAAAGAAAGTCAAACTCATTCAAACAAAGCTTTTTAAATCAAATGAAGTCAAACAAATTCAAACAATGCTTTTTCAATCGAAATTAATTAAAATATATTCAAACAAAGCTTTTTAAATTGAATGAAAGTCAAATGCATTGAATCAAAGCTATTTGAAAAGAATGAAAGTCAAATGCATTCAACGAAGCTAATTGAATCAAATGAAAGTCAAACACATTCAAACAAAGCTTTTTAAATAAAATGAAAGTCTAACACATTCAAACAAAGCTGATTGAATTAAATGAAAGTCAAACACATTCAGTTAAAGATTTTTGAATCGAATGAAATACAAACACATTCAACTAAGTTAATTGAATCAAATGAAAGTCAAACACATTTAACAAAGATTTTTGAATAAAATGAAAGATAAACACATTCAAAAAAGCTTTTTGAATCCAATGAAAGTCAAACACATTCAAACAAAGCTTTTTAAATCAAATAAAAGTCAAACATATTCAAACAAAGCTTTTTTAATCAAATCAAAGTCAAATACATTCATACAAAGTTTTTTGAATCAAATAAAAGTCCAACACATTCAAACAAATCTTTTTGAATCAAATTAAAGTAAAAAAACATTCAAACAAAGCTTTTTGACTCGAATGAAAATCAAACGCATTCAACGAAGTTAATTGAAACAAATGAAAGTAAAAAACATTCAAACAAAGATTTTTAAACAAATAAAGGTTAAACATATTTAAAGAAAGCTTATTAAATCAAATGAAAGTTAAACACATTCAAACAAAGCCTTTATAATCAAATGAGTGTCAAACACATTCAAACAAATCATTTTAAATTGTATGAAAGTCAAATACATTTAACTAAGCTAATTGAATCAAATGAAAGTCTAACTCATTCAAACAAAGCTTTTTGAATAAAATGAAAGTCAAACTCATTCAAACAAAGCTTTTTAAATCAAATGAAGTCAAACACATTCAAACAATGCTTTTTCAATCGAAATTAATTAAAATATGTTCAAACAAAGCTTTTTCAATTGAATGAAAGTCAAATGCATTGAATCAAAGCTTTTTGAAAAGAATGAAAGTCAAATGCATTCAACGAAGCTAATTGAATCAAGTAAAAGTCAAACACATTCAAACAAAGCTTTTTAAATAAAATGAAAGTCTAACACATTTAAACAAACCTGATTGAATTAAATGAAAGTCAAACACATTCAGTTAAAGATTTTTGAATCGAATGAAATACAAACACATTCAACAAAGTTAATCGAATCAAATGAAAGTCAAACATATTTAACAAAGATTTTTGAATAAAATAAAAGGTAAACACATTCAAAGAAAGCTTATTGAATCCAATGAAAGTCAAACACATTCAAATAAAGCTTTTTAAATCAAATAAAAGTCAAACTTATTCAAACAAAGCTTTTTTAATCAAATCAATGTCAAATACATTCATACAAAGTTTTTTGAATCAAATAAAAGTCCAACACATTCAAACAAAGCTTTTTGAATCAAATTAAAGTAAAAAAACATTCAAACAAAGCTTTTTGACTCGAATGAAAGTCAAATGCATTGAAACAATGCTTTTTGAATCGAATGAAAGTCAAATGCATTCAACGAAGATAATTGAATAAAATGAAAGTCAAACACATACAAACTAAGCTTTTTCAATCGAATGAAAGTCAAACACAACAAAGGTTTTTTAATCGAATAAAAGTCAAATATATTCAAACAAATCTTTTTAATTCAAATAAAAGTCAAACACTATCAAACAAATATTTTTGAATCGAATAGTCGTCAAATATATTTAACAAAGCTAATTGAATCAATTAAATGTCAAACACATTCAAACAAAGCTTTTTGAAGAAAACTAAAGTTAAACACATTCAAATAAAGCTTTTTTAATCAAATGAAAGTCCAATGCATTCAACAAAGTGAATTATATCAAATGAAAGTCAAACACATTCAAACAAAGCTTTTAGAATCAAATGAAAGTTAAACACTTTTAGAGAAAGCTTTTTTAAATCAAATGAAAGTTAAACACATTCATACAATGCTTTTTAAATCAAATGAAAGTCTAACACATTCAAACAAAGATTTTTGATTCAAATGAAAGTCAAATACGTTGAACAAAGGTTTTTGAATCAAATGAAGGTCTAACACATTAAAACAAAGCTTTTAGAATCAAATGAATTTCGTACACATTCAAAAAAAGCTTTTTAAATCAAATGATATTGAAACACATTCAAACAAAGCTTTTTGAATTGAATGAAAGTCAAATGCATTCAACGTGGATAATTAAATCAAATGAAAGTCAAACACAATCAAACTAAATATTTTGAATCAAATGAATATCAAACCCATTCAAACAATGCTTTTTGAATCAAATAAAAATTAAAAACATTGAAAAAAAGCTTTCTAAATTAAATGAAAGTTAAACACATTCAAACAAAGCTTTTTTATTCGAATGAAAGTCAAATGAATTTACCGAAGATATTTGAATAAAATGAAAGTCAAACGCATTCAAACAAAGCTTTTTAAATCAAATGAAAGTAAAAAACATTCAAACAAAATTTTTTGAATCAAACAAAAGTCAAACACATTAAACAAAGCTAATTGAATCAAATGAAAGTTATACACATTCAAACAAAATTTTTTCAATCAAATGAAAGTTTAACGCATTCAAATAAAGCTTTTCAAATCAAATGAATGTCAAACACATTTGAACAAATCTTTTTGAATCAAATGAAAGTTAAATGCATTCAACAAAGCTAATTAAATCAAATTAAAGTGAAACACATTCAAACAGGTCTTTTTGAACAAAATGAAAGTCGAACACATTCAAACAAAGATTTTTGAATCGAATGGACGCCAAATACATTAAACGAAGCTAATTGATTCAAATTAAAGTCAAACACATTTAAACACATCTGTTTTAATAAAATGAAGGTTAAGCACTTTCAAATAAAGCTTTTTGAAACGAAAGAAAGTCAAATGGATTCAACAATGTTAATTGAATCAAATGAAAGTCAAAAACATTCAAACAATGCTTTTTAAATCAAATGAAAGTAAAACACATTCAAACAAAGCTTTTTGAATCAAATGAAAGTCAAACACATTCAGATAAAGATTTATAAATCGAATGAAAATCAAACGCATTCAACGAAGTTAATTGAATCAAATGAAAGTCAAACACATTCAAACAAAGATTTTTAAACAAATGAAGGTTAAACATATTTAAAGAAAGCGTATTGAATCAAATGAAAGTCAAACACATTCAAACAAAGCTTTTATAATCAAATGAGTGTCAAACACATTCAAACAAATCTTTTTGAAATTCAAATACATTTTTTTTTGGAAAATATGAGAAATTTTATTACCAAAAGGAAAAGTTACAACTTACAACAGCTAAGTTATAACACACACCAAACCCCACAAGACCTGAAAAACAGGTCAACCAACCACCAAATAGTTTAAGCTCAATCTCCTGCCACCTTCTAGGAAGGGTTCAGGAGAAAGAGACAAAAACAACCTGAGCACAAGCTTCCAACCACCTTCTAGGAATGGTTCTGGAAACAAGGCCCAGGAACACAAAGATAAGCAC